TGGGACACCCAAGCAACACTGTGTTAAACAATACGATACGAGCAGGAGTACTCGACAAGGACTCCCTACTGCTAACAGACGGACGAGAACTTCAACGAGCACGAGGGACATGCTTCACCTGTCCTGAAGGCGACTTACCGCATCGGCCGTTCCCATCTCACCACAACCCCAGTGCTCCAGCCTACGCACCTCTCGAAAAGGTGTACAGCGACATCCTGTACAACCGCGCCCCCGGACAAAACGCATACAACTACACCATCACCTTCATCGACGCAGCCATACGTTACGTCTGGCATCTCAACCTTCCGAGCAGGGACATGGCCTTCGAAGCCTTCGTCGCGTGGCTTCCCGTAGCAGAAAGAGAATCGGGCGTTAAACTAAAAAGCTTTCAGTCAGACGGAGGAGGAGAATACACCTCACAAAGGTTCAAGCAGTACTTGGCAGAGAGAGGCATCAAGCGGCTCATCTCCCTTCCCTACGCCCATCAACAGCAGGGTGTAGCAGAAAGGATGAACAGGACTCTGCAGAACACCATGCGCAAACTGCTACGTGGCATGCGGCTACCCGACCACTAGTGGCCCGAAGCAATGGACCACGCCGTGATGCTGCACAACTTGCTTTCTTCGTCGTCACTCCCGAACAACGCATCACCACATCTGCTGTGGACAGGAAAATTGGGCAGCACAAAAATGTTACGAGTCTTCGGCTGCATGGTACAGTACCGACCCCCATCTGCACGAGCAGGACGGTTCTCTCAACGCGCACAGTGGGGACTACACCTGGGCATCGAAAAGCATTACAACGCATGGAAAATCTTCGACGTCGAGACAAAAGAAACAGTGGCAGCATGTGATGTGATCTTCTACGAACGACTCATATTGCCAACGTACCTGGCCAACATCGAAGAAAACAACCCTGACCTCTCGAGCGGATTTCATGGCGACCGAGCCTTCGCCTCGGCAGAAGACGAAGCTGACTGGGACGAGCAGAACGTGGACGGAGCCTCGGAAGAAGCCGGACCTCTCCCCTACTGCTCCGTCGACATTCCGATGGACGACGACAACCCTCGCGACAGCGTCAACGCCAAAGCCTTCTACCACTTCGCCGACAACGGTTACGTTACACCTGCACGGGTCAACACCAACGAAGCAGAACGCGTAGGACCAAACTTCAATCCAACACCTGAAGCGGGAGACGAAGCAGTTTATCCTGAGGATACAACTCTTCCCCGCTACTCACAGAGTGGACTGCAAATTCTCGGCCTCGTCACCGCAGTCCACGGAGCGGCGCTTCCTAAGGAGCCTGCGACGGTTCAGCAGGCTCTGGGGGGGGAGCATAGGGAAAAATGGCGCGAAGCCATGGACAGGGAGCTGAAGGCACTGGAAGAACGGAACACATGGAAGGTTGTTCCCATCGGCGTAGCACGGAACAAGACCATTCTCACCGGAAAATGGGTCTTCCGCGTGAAAACAAAGGCTGACGGCACCATCGACAAATTTAAGGCGCGCTGGGTCGTACGCGGCTTCGACCAGGAGCACGGACGGGACTTCACCGAAACCTTCGCTCTGGTCAGCCGCCACACCTCGCTCCGCATCCTCCTCGCGATCGCCGCCATGAAGAAGAAGAAACTGCGACAGATCGACGTCGCAAACGCATTCCTCTACGCACCTGTTGACGCAGAGATTTTCGTGGAGCTACCACACGGCTCCAACACAGACTCCACGCATGTCTGCCAGCTGCTCAAGTCACTCTACGGGATTAAACAAGCCCCGCGACTGTGGCAACAGTACCTGCACGCTCGTCTCATCCGCATCGGCTTCAAGCAACTGCCGCATGACCAGGGCATGTACCGGCTCACGAAGAACGACGACTACATCCTGCTAATCGTCTACGTGGACGATCTCCTCTACATCGGCTCTACCGACGGCATCACCACCTGGTTCGAAGGGGAGCTGCAGCAAGACCTCACACTCACGGTCTCGCCTACCGTCACTCAGTACCTCGGCCTCAACATCCGAGAAGAAGAGGACGCAATCTACCTCAGCGCCGAGAAGTACGCCGACACCATCGCCAAGCGCTTCGCTCTCACACCGACCGCGATCTCCACGCCATACCGCTACACGACACGAACCGACAAGGGAGGATCCGCACTACTCAAACCGGCCGGCATACGCGATTATCAAAGGAAGCTGGGATGCCTCCTCTTCGCAGCTGTTACCTGCCGTCCCGACCTCTCATATTCCGCAAGCCAGCTCGCCACCTATCTCAAGAAGCCAGAAGGAGAGCATCTAGCGGAGATCGATCGCGCTCTTCACTACCTCGTCAGCACCCCGACGATCGGCCTAACTTACTACATGAACGCAACTGTACCGACTAAACTAATCGGCTAGACGCAGATCACGCCGGCGATTCCGATAACAGGCGCTCACGCACCGGCTACATCTATCGCCTCGAACCTATCGGTCCTATCTCCTGGCAGTCGAGCAAGCAGGAGTTAATCGCACTATCATCAGCTGAAGCAGAATACATCGCACTCTGCTCAGCCACCAATGAAGGCCTTTATCTTCGCGAGTTGTTGGAGGAAGCGAAGTTAGCCGAGTTACCCAACTTCACTCTGTTCTGCGACAACCAGTCGGCAATTCGCATCGCCAACAAGAACGGCTTCGCGAACAGGACGAAACACATCGCCCTGCGCTACTTCTTCGTGAAAGACGAGATCGAGAAGGGAAGACTCGAGCTGTCATACTGCCCCACGTCCGAGATGGCAGCCGACTATTTGACCAAGAAGCTCGGAAAGCAGAAATTCGAGTACTGCATGCTGCTGACTGGACAGAGCCACGTCATCAGCAGCGACACTCCAGAAGCGAAGGGGAGTGTTGGAAACAGTAAATCTTAAGCGCTTCTGTCGTGTCGAAACATCGCACCAGAAGTGAAGCAAAACCACCGAAGCACCCGCGAGTCAACCCTCGGAGGTTGAGAGGTTGCTGGAGGTTACGCGAAAGTCAAAGGTCAAGCGACCTTTGACCTGACAAGTGCAGCGCGACAGTTAAGGACACACAACTGACTCGTTACAGAGCAGTTGCCCGAGTCGTACTGTATCGAACCGCAACAGCAACAGTAAATTAGTTACAACCGTATCTTTTCGTATTCCTTGTACTATTATATATTCTTGTATCTCTTTGCTATAATCAATCTACTTTGCCCTCATATACCAGCGCAAGGTGGTTCACAAGCTCTTCACTTAAAGCTTCTGCTACTACAATAGTTCCTACTCAGAGTTTACCCCTGAAAAGATCCTAAGGGCTTTTTCTCAGCCCAACACGTGTTCGGCCTATTTCGTCGACCTAACTACTTCCGAGTCGGCCCCCGCACCAATCGCAACCATCACCGAGCCATCTTCGCCCTACCTCTTTGCATAGCTAGGATTTCCCCTATTTAGTCGTGCCTTTCTCATTGTATCGTCATTCAGTAGTCAACCATTCTCGTTATTGGTTTTAGTGCGCACTCTGACAAGTTCATTCATAACAGCACTCTTAACAGTTGTATATTTGTTACTCTGTTTCGCTGTGGTGGGTCTGCCGTGATTCCTTGTCGGTGGGGGAAGCGCATATCGGAGATGGTTTGGTTTGAAAAAGTGCTCACACCTGGCCCCGATCAGTACTCGGGCCAAGAGACCCTCAAGGGTTTTGTAGCGAAACAAAGCTTGTAACAGAGTTTTTCATCAACACCGTACGATTCTCCTCATCTTGCGGCTAGTTTCATCTGACGAAAGAATCTTTTTGTCACCAGTCGCAAAGGTGCTGATGAAGGGTTCCGTGGGACTTGAAGAAACAATATTCGCATCTTTCAGAACCCGATGACGTCATCCCTCGTTACCAGCAGCAGAAAGGCAGCCATGGTTGCTTGCTGGGGCTGCTGCTGATCGTCGTGGCACTGTTGCTCACTACTCGCCTCCTCTCCTTTCCTCGCCTTCCCTCCACTATTAGCAGAAAGCCCTCACCAGTAAGCCGCCTCTGTGGCAGACTTTACGCCAATCGTCGTGACACTTGTCACGCCGTGGTTTTTCCGTAAAAGGGAGGATGAAATAAGGATGACAAAAAGAGCACGCGGGAAGACGACCGGTCTTGGAGCTGAGAGGGAGGGTCTTTTCGATCTAGTTTCTGAACTCAGAGAGGCCAATTCTGCGCGTCTCGCATATTCCAAGCGCTTCGACGCCATGCCTTGGGAATTATCGCTGCTATAGGTGAGGCCGCGCACAAGGTCCCTCTCTGTCGTCCGATCCTCTGATCAAGCTCCCGCGCAGCTCCGCGTCCCGTGGCTCGGCCTGTGACTTCTGAGTCGCCTACGGAGTCACTTTTGTCTCTTTCCTTAGACTTGATCCATCAGGGTTTTGTTAATGACTTCCGGTTTCGTCTCCTCGTAGTAGCCACACGACAATGGACGGTCCTTGCCTCTCGTAATCGTCGTCTCGGTCTGTGGCGGCTACATTGATCGGCCAATTGCCTCCTAAGCGCTTCATGATTATAGTATAGAATAGACTGAACCTGAGGCTCTTAATCCGTCATCCCGGCCTGCAGTAAGAGCTACAGTGGTGTTACTCGCGGTTACAGTCGCCTCGTAGGGCTGCATGAGAATCGTTCTTCGTAACTTCACGGCACCGTTGGGTGCCACGACGGCAAGCAGTTTGATAAGCTCTGACTGCTTAGTCAGTGTACCGAGCCCGTCAAGTGCTGAAAGCCTGATAAGTGCAGTCGTCTGAGAAGCCAACTAAAGGCAGCCGCATTTTCATGGACTCCAAGCCGGCAAGTGGGACTCCGCGAAACCAGCAGCACCGGGAGGGTCAGCCGAAGCATCAGCGAATGCAAGACGCCCTGTACCTCCCACCCCCGGCGTTCCCCGTGCAGCCGCAGCAACAGCATCAACAACAGCAGCATCAGCACCAGCGGCAGCAGCAGCCCAAGTTCGATCCGTTGGCATCGGAGGAGGTTTCTCCGACCATCATGTCGGACCGTCGCAACTCGCACATGTCTCCCATGCCCCTGCCTTTCGCGAGCGGCCACGTGTACGCTGAAGGGTTCTACGTTAATTCTCCGCCAGTCGCTTTTTCGTCCATGTTCGGTAGCGACGGCGCGCTGGACAACATAGATGGTGGCAATCTGGATGCCAGTAACGCCCTGGATGGTAACAATGCTGCCACCGGTGCGTCGAGATTCGCCAAGGAGTGCGAGGTAGGTGAGAGCGGAAAAGCGGCTGTAATGATCATCGGGGAGGTTGGTAACGGGGACGAGGTGGATCGTGACAATAACGGGGGTCGGATGGAGGTGGGGGGTCTGGAGAACGTTTGGTCAGACGAATCGGACAAAATGGAGAATGCGGAGGGGAGGTTCGAGGGGAGGCTGGAAGGCAGATCGGAGGGGCGATCGGAGGAGACGGGATTGGCGAGGGGGCGACGAACGAGCGCGGGGAGAGAAAAGGACATTGGGGATGCGTACGGGTCGACAGCAGGGCCGGGAACGGGGTGTGAGTGGCCCACGTGGCCTGACTACACCCCGGACGAAACCATCGGCGCGGACTGGGCCGAGCTGCTTAAGGTCGACGACGAGGTGCGTGGTCGGTGGGTGGGGTGCTTTACGGGAGAAGGGAACTACTACTAGTGGGTGCTTGGTGGTGGCCCTGAGTGGGGTGCTTTTCGAAAAAAGGCAGCACGTTTCTCACTTTGGCTGGGCCGACGGGAACATGGTTTTGGCAGGTCCTAGTCGGCGTGGTAGTTGGTTCTTGCGCTTGGTACAAAATTGCGGGAGGTGGCTTTTGTATGTTAGTTGAGTTCCGCGTCCGCTGCAACACTGCTTGAAGCATTCCGCCTTCTCCCTCCGCCGAGTTTCGTTTTCGGATCTCTTATGTGGTTGGTTCGTTCCTTCATGTTTTGATGCATGTCTGTCGCCGCTGGTCTCCCTCCGGTCGTGTGTGTGACTCCATTCCATTGTTTTGAGACGTCTCACAACATCCTTCTTACTTACTCATGCTCCATTCGCTTTGCTTCCTTTACAGGTGGTTCCCCCGTCGAAGCTGGAGGCAGCACAGGCGGGAGGGCAGCAAGGCTCGTCGTCCTCCCTGCCTTGGGAACTCCGGTGTACGCAGCAGCAGCAGCACCTGCAGCAGCAGCAGCAGCAGCAGCAGCAGCAGCAGCAGCAGCAGCAGCAGGAGCATAACCAGCATTCATATCAGAACCAGCAGTACCAGAAACAGCAGGACGATAATCAGCAGCATCACCACCAACAGAAGCAGCAACCACATCAGCAGCAGCAGCATCATCATCAGCAGCAGCAGCAACAGCAACAGCAGCAGCAGCAGCAGCAGCAGCAGCAGCAGCAGCAGCAGCAGCAGCAGCAGCAGCACCATCAGCACCATCACCAGCAGCAGCAGCAGCAGCAGCAGTACCAGCCGCAACAGGCACAACACACGAGCACACCCCAACCCATTTTCCCAACCCCAACTCACCTCCCCACCTCCCCCCTCTCCAGGCCCCCATACCCGCCCTTCCACAACCCCTACGCGTCACCAGATCTCCCCTTTTCCCTGGTGGCCGTACCAGGCATGTACGCGCAGATCCACCCGGGGGGGAGGGACCCACTGCCGCTGCCGCCGCTGCCCCTGCCGCTGGGGGCCATGCCTTGCGCCCTCCGCGTGGCTGCGCTCGCCTCCTCCGCTTCCACTGCTGGGAGCAGCGGTGGTGCAGGAGGAGGGGGAGGAGGGCGTGGGGAAGGGGGAGGGGGAGGTAGAGGAGGAGGGGAAAAAGGAGGGGAGCGCGGAGGCGGAGGAGGAGAGGGGACGGGGGCTTCGTCGCAAGGAGCAGCAGTGAATGGTAGCGGTGCCATTGCTGCCGTAGCCGCCGCTGGTGCCGCTGCTGTCGTTGCTGGGATGCAGGGCCAGGGTGGGGTTGGCAGTGGAGGAATGGATGGGTTAAGCATGTGCCGGATCGACTCTATAGCGGGGATGAATCTGCTTGCTCCAGGGACGGACGCTGCAGCCGCCGCTGCATCTGCTGCCGCGTCAGCTGCCGCCGCCACTGCTGCTGCCGCGGCTGCAGCAGCTGCGTCTGGCGGGGGGCCGGCGCCCACAGCATCTCTGGGAGGGCGCGGAGGGGAAGGGGGGGCGACGAGCAGCGTGGGCGGGGGAGGGGCGTTCAGCATGGGGGGAGGAGGCGGGGCAGGGGGGTTCAGCAGCGACGGGAGTTCCGGCAAGCAGCGGCTGCGGTGGACGCCGGAGCTGCATGAGAAATTCGTGGAGGCCGTCGCCAACCTGGGAGGCGCTGACAGTTAGTCCGTCTGACAATGTGCAACTCTCTTAGTATAAACTCTAAGTCGACGCCAGAGCTGCATGAGAAATGGCAGTCGCGAATCTGGGAGGGACACACAGCAAGCCGTGGCGTGGGACTCATGGCCTGTGGGAGGGGCTGTGCGCCTCTGTTCCCCCCTTGGTTGTGAGTTTCAGCAGTTTAGGGAGCACGCCCGAGCTGCATGGTCGATTTACGAAAGCGCGTGTGCAACTAAGGGGGGCTGGCTGACGGTGAGGCGTGGCCTTGTGGTAGTGGATAGAAAGGAGTTGGCATCTGCTCACCCATGCCCTCCTCGCTTCCTCTCCTCCCTCCCCCCTCCCCCCCTCCCCCCCTTCCCCCCTTCCCCCGTTCCCCGTTTCGACCTCGTGTGCTGCGTTGCGGTGCGAGCAGAGGCGACGCCCAAGGGAGTGCTGCGAGTGATGGGCGTGCAGGGCCTCACCATCTACCATGTCAAGAGCACCTGCAGGTGCGTGTGTGTGCCTCAACCACAGTCACGTCTGATGTATGTATGTCTGCTGGGGAAGGGGCGTGTGACAGCCTGTGCCTGTGCCTCTCTCCCGTTCTTTTGGAGTCTTCTTCCCCTTTCGCGCTCTCATCTCCCCAAGTGCGTGATTTTCCCCTTCCGCCTCTTCTCCCCCCTTCCCCCCGTTTTCCCTCTTCCTCCACTCGTCCCCGCTCCCCCCCCACCCCCCCTTTTCCCCTTCCCCCTTTTCTCTCTCTGCAGAAGTATCGACTCGCTAAGTATCTTCCAGATCCTTTGCCTTCCACACCCCGAGAGAAGGGTAAGTTTGTAGAATACACCAATAGTTGAACTGATTACAGAGCCACAGAGCATACATTCCTTAACTTGTCTGTTGTCGAGCATACGCTCTCCCAAACCTACGCTCTTCCTATCCGGTACTGCAGCTTGTGTAGTTCTGAGACGTCTCAAATCTTTAAATGCACGCAGCAGCAAAATCTACAGAGTAGAGTCTCTAGTGTCCTTAGCCCCCTTGTTCTTCCCCTAACATGCTATAAGCAACTCACCTTCTGCGAGTTGCGGTTATTCTTTCCATTTCCAACAACTGCACCGTGCTCTGTTTGGCGCAGCAGCAGCGGCGGCGCTGCTGCTGGTGTTGCTGCTGATGCATGACAGTCTGTCTGTACGTCCCAGATACCTGTCAGTCACTGCCGGGAGTATGGACGATTCACTTGTCCCTTTCCGCCCTATCGTTCCCGCTGTGCCTCCCAGAGCCAAAGCCAGAGAGGGCAGAGAAGCCCCCCAAGCGGGTTGCTTCCGGGGTGTTTGCACCTGCGCCTGTCACATTAGCTCCGCCCCCCTTCCCTCCTCCTCCTGCTGCTGCCGCCGCTGCCGTCGCCGCCGCCGCTGCTGCGGCTACTGCTGCGACTGGTGCCGCTCCTGCTACTCCTGCTGCTGCTGCGGCGGCCGCTACTGCCGTTGCGGCTGTTGGTGCGGCTGCTGGCTCTCCGAACCTCCAGCTTGTCGCTACCGACGGCGAGCCTTCGTCGCTCGACCCTGCTGTGTACGTCTTTCATTATCCTAACCCACAGCACCACCCATCCCATCCCATCCCCACACCCATCCCCCCTTCCTACCCCCGCTGCCACTGCCGCTGCCGCTGCTGGCTCTCCAAGCTTCCACCGTGACGCTACAGACCGCGAGCCGTCGTCGCTCGACCCTGCTGTGTATGTTGTTCATTGCTACTCACATCACCGCCCATCCCACCCCGCCCCCCTCCCTCCCCCCTTCCCGCCCCTCTCGCACTTCATGGCAGCTCATGTCTGATTTTTCATTCACCGTAGCTTCCCTTGTTGCTTTGTTTCTCACCCTGTCTGATCCCATTCTTATGTACCAGCTCCATCTCCCATCCCCTCTTACTGCTTGCTTCATCCAATGAGCTTCTTCGTGTGCTGTAGGCACAGGCAGCGTTTCTTTCGAGTCGATTAAAAAGAGTCGCAGCTGCATGTGCGGCGGCGAGTTCTCATCCACTCCTTATGCGCTCACTCGCTTTCTCTCCCTCGCCCCTCATATACCCGCCTCCACCCGTGCAGCATTCGCAACATTCCGATCACAGAGGCGCTGCGCATGCAGATGGAGGTGCAGAGGCAGCTGCAGCTGAGGATCGAGGCGCAGGGTAAATACCTCCAGAAAATCATAGAGGAGCAGGCGAAGGCGAGTGGCATGGTGGTGGCGAGCAGGTCGTCCACAGCCGGTGGTGCCGTCACGTCTGCTGACCCCGCTGGCGCCTTGAATGCGCGAGGAGTGGGGGGAGGAGTGGCGCAAGGAGGGGAGGGAGGGGAAGGAGGGGAAGGAGGGGTGACAGGCCGGGGAGCTGACGGGGGTTCAGTTCCTGCTTCTGCGGAGGCTGCTGCTGCTGCTGCTGCTGCTGCTGCCAGTGCTGCTGGTGCTGCAGCTGGTAGTGCGGCTGCTGCTGCTGGTGCTGCCGGTGCTGCAGGTGGTGGTTTGGCAGGGCACAGTGGGGAGATCTCTCTTGGGGTGAGCTCGAGTTTAGAGAAACCGTTGGATGCATCATCAGCTGCTGCCGCAGCAGCTGACAGGGCTTCTGCTGTTGCAGCTGACAATGCTGCTGCTGCTGCGTATGGTTGCTATGTTGCTTACCCACCCTCTCAATTCTTCCCACCAGTCCCCGCAGCAGCACCTCTTCATACCCCTGCCTCTGCCTCTGCCGCTGCCGCCATCTCCGCTTCTGCAGCTTCTGCTGGTTCTGGTGCTGCCGCTGCTGCTGCCACCACTACTCTCTCTGCTGGCGCCACCGCCACTGCTGCTGCAGCGGGTGTTGCTGGGGAAGTCCCACCCGGATCACCCTCTCTCATGTCCACTTCACCCCAACCCTCCCAACCCGCTCTTACAGCCATACCTGCAGCGCCCACCACCGCGCTTGCTGCCACCGGCGAGTTTGGCTTCCCCCTGCCACAGGTGTCGGCATCTCAGCAGCCCAAGGCCCCTTCGCGTCGCCTCTGCTCCCCTCTCTCCTCCACCCGCCTCCTCGCCCTGCCATCCCCATCTGCATCCGCTTGCCCTTCTCTCTCCACTCCCCCGTCTCCTGCGATTGCTAATGATTCACCTGAGCAGCCACCTGAGAATACACCTGAGGAAACACCTGAGGTTGCACCTGCTCCAGGTGGGCTCTGTGGCTCGTCGGGGCAGGAGAGGGGCAGGAGGAAGAGGCGGAGGACGAGGGAGCTAAGTTGCAATATACTCTTTGACCTGTTTGCGTATAGCGGATATCCGCTTGCGTATACACGCAAAACGCTATACGCAAGCGAATCCGCTATACGCTCGGCAATTTTTTTTTGGGGCAGCCCGGGCGGAAAAAAAATTCAAACATACGGAAAGTTGCGGAATTTCACGACGATCGTTTTGCCGAAGGCGAATTGCACGTACGTGACTTGTCCAATCGTGGACGTGGCTTTTTGCAGATGGCGAATTTCACGTACGTGACTTCTCCAATCGTGGACGTGGGTTCAACCCACGTAGTCGAGATTGGTTGTGTCAATTTGTCAAGTCGCGTTTTCACGTACACACTTTGTGCGCTCTGTTTGTTACCGCATTGAATCCCCCCCCATCTACTCACTCCAACCACCTGTCCCAATGTTCCCTTCTCTCGTTGTGCTACTTAGTGGGTTGCAAGCAACTACGCAATTCATCAGTTCCCCGTCACTTTCGTAATGTCTAGCCCGCCATGCACACCGCCGTCCGTTCAGGCAGTGCAGAGTTCTCCGATTGTTCGACCAGAGGGTAGGGAATACCTTCCCGACATGCCGGAACACGCAGTCTTCAAACATTTCAGCCTCATTGTGCGGGAAGAAGGCAAAGCACAGCAGTACGAGTGTAAGTACTGCTTCAATGTTTTCACCGGTGCAGCCATTCGTTGCGCGCAGCACCTGAGCTCGTGGAAGGGAATGAAGCGTCGCGAGGTGGCGCTTTGCAAGGAGGCATCGCAAGGCGTACGCGACGAGATGCGCACCAAGTACGAGAAGATGGCTGCCGCGGTAGAAGAAAGGCGCCGAGCAACATCTGCTGCAGTTGCGGCAGTCCAGGCTGGCGGCGGGAAGCGGCGCATCACCGACTACTTGGAGGGAGATGCCGCTGCGGCTAAACGGGATGCTGACGAGGGCCTTGCGCTGATGTTTGCGGCCTGCAGAATCCCGGAGGTCACCATGGACCACCCGCTGTTCATCAACGCCATGCTGCTCGTCAACCGCGCCGGCCACGGCTACGTCCCCCCCAGGAGGACTTTCATTGGCGGGGCTGGGCTGGTCGCTGTCCGCAAAGGGATTGAGCAGGGGCTGATGGGGATTAAATCGAGCTGGAAGAAGACGGGGGTAACAATTGCGTCCGACATGATGACGGACAAATGTGGGAGGGCGTAGGCGAATGTCCTCCTCATTAACGACTCCGGCGCCGTCTTCAAGGAGGCGATCGACTGCGGTATGGAGCGGAAGACGGGGGGATACATTGCGGAGATTCTGCAGCCGGTGGTGGAGGAGGTAGGACCAGAGAATGTCGTCGCGTTTTGTATGGATGGGGGGTCAAACTATGCCGCGGCTGTCCAGGAGCTGATTGCCAAGTGGCCCCACATTCAGCAGGTCCCTTGTGCTACGCATGTGATGGATCTCCTGCTGGAGGATGTGAGAAAGATGGGGTGGGCAAAAGGGGTGGTGGATCAGACTGGGGAGATGATTTCTTTCGCGCGCAACCATCATTGGACGCGCGCTTACCTGAGGACCAAGGAGTTGGTTGAGGGGAGGGTGCTGCAGCCGCTGAAGCCGGCGGGAACGCGTTTCGGGACACAGTACATTGCTGTGTCCCGCCTTTGTCAGTTGCGTAGCACCCTGAACGCGATGGTGCTGTCCGACAAGTGGAAGGAGTGGGCCGTGGGGTCGCGGAAGGATGCTGCCGAGGAGTTTGCTGGGCGGGTCCTTGATGCAGCATGGTGGCGGACGGCAGAATTCTTCTGCAAGCTGATGCAACTGCCCTACAAGACGATGCGGCAGACTGACGCAGATGCCACGGGGATGATGGGCCGCCTCTATGATGTAATGCTGCAGCTTACGGAGGATGTCAACAACGTCCTGGACGAGGATGAGCAGCAGCTGAGTCGCACGGAGAAGGACAAGATTCGCCGCATCATCAAGGACCGCTGGGATAACAACCTCGCCTGCGCCATGCACGTTGCTGGCCGAATCCTCAACCCCGCGAACCAGGAGGAGGATATCTTTGGCAGCGATGTCGAATGCACCCGGGTTTTCAAGGCGTTAATCAACCAGCACGTGGAGTTCCTCATCGGCCACGACGGGAAGGGGAGGGATGCTGGTCCAGACTACTTGCTTGCCTTGGGTGACGGGCTGAGGGCTTTCTTGGACCTGAAAGGCAGTTTTGGGATGCCGGAGGCGATTGCACAGAGGGAGTTGGTGAAGGCGGGTAAGTACAGCATGGTGAAGTGGTGGCAGTGGAACGGCACAGATGCACCTCACCTGATGCACTTCGCCGTGAGGATGCTATCTCAGCCTGTATCGGCATCCCCTTGTGAGCGTGGGTGGGGAACTTGGGATGCAGTCCACACAGCCCGCCGGAACCGCCTCGGCTCTAAGAAGTGCCAGGACCTGGTTTTTGTTGCGCACAACTGGAATGTTGTGCGCAACTGGCACTCGCGCGCAGATGTGATGCCGAACGTTGTGCCAGGGATTGGGGACGAGCCTCCTATCCCCGAGGGGTACAACGGGTTGGATGAGACGGAGGTGGAGGAGGAGGAAGGCGAGGATGACGTCCTGGAGGACGAGTATGCTTAGAACTAGGGTGGCAGGATAGTATTAGTGACATGTGTGTGTGTATGGTGTCGTAATCTTATTATGGGAAAAAAAAAAATCTGTGCTGCCCCACCCCTCCTCCCCCTCAAACATCCCCAAGTGGGTTTTTTTGCCCTGCCCGGGAAAGTTTTTTCCCTGCCCGGAAAAGCGTATTCCAAAGTCGACCCCCAAGCGGATAGCGTGTATACGCTAGTGTATATATGATAAGCGTATATTCGCTATAAGCGTATATTGCAACTTAGCGAGGGAGGTCATTGTAGACGTGTGCGGGGAGATGGAGGAGGAAGAGGAGTGTGGGGAGACAGAGGAGGTGGATGCGAGTGCAGGTGATGGTGACGATGATGGTGATGGCAACGGTGATGGTCATGATGATGGCAATGGTGATGGTGATGGCGATGATGGCGCAGTTGATGGAGGAAGAGGAAAGGAGAACGAAGAAGGTGCTTCTCTAGCGTTCGCTGCTGCCACTACTGGTGCTGCTGTTGTTACTGCTACTGCCACTGCGGCTACTGCCACTGCGGCTACTGCTGCTGGTGATGGTGCTTGTTTTGGGTCATCCCCTCCACCGTCTGCCCCCATCCCTCGCAGTTCCAGCTATGTATCGCGGCAACAGCAGAGGCAGCAGCAGCAGCAGCAGCAGCAGCACAGGCAGCAGCAGACGCAGCAGGACCGGACTGCAAGGCAAACTGGCATGGGTGCGGGTGCCATGCAAAGCACGTCACAGGGCCTTCCATACACCCCAACACATTCCCCCATACCACCGCCTGCTGCTGCTGCTGCTGCTGCTGCTGCTGCTGCTGCTGCTGCTGTGGCAGGTCATGGAAGCCTCCCCTTGCAGTCACACCCTGTGCATCAGCCCCATCCCGCCCCCCCGAACCATCCCCACTACCATGCCATACCACACCCCGCTTCCACCACGTCCACCCAAGCGCCGCACCACGCCATGCCACCCCCCCCACCAAACCATCCTCAGAGCATGCATGCCATGCCCCACCCCTCTTCCACCCACGGCCAACACCACGCCATGCCACCCCCTCCTCACTACCTCTACCCAATCCCAGCGGGCATGCATGCAGGCATGCATGGGTATCCGCCGCCGTCCTTGCCGCATGGCATGGCGCCACATTATGCTATGCCGGGCGGGGTAGGACATCACATGTCGCAGCAGCATGCCAACATGCCACAACATGGCAGCATGCATATGGACGTTCACCCAAGCATGCATCCCAGCCATTCAAGCCACCCACAGCACCCAGGCCACGCAGGTACTCATGCTGGGCATGGCTCACCGTACTTGTATGTGGGAATGCACCCGCCTGCCACCGCTGGTGCTGCTGTGACGTCCGCGCCCTCAGGACACCCTTACCCCTTGGCGTTTACCGTGATGCAGCAGCCGGAGAGTGATCAACTTGCATCGCAGCAGCAGCACCAGCAACAGCAGCAGCAGCAGCAGCGGCAGCGGCAGCAGGAGGGAAGCACAGCAGGGTGCGGTGGGTCGCTTGCTTGGGCTCAACCAGGCTCCAGCCCTCTTGCCATCGGCACATCGCTGGCCATGCTCTCTCCTAGGGATGCTACAGCTGCTGCGGCGGCACAGCAAGAGTCAGTTGCTGCAGGTGGAGTAGGGGGGGCAGGGGCAGTGGGAGGGCTGCAGCAGCGGAAGCAGAAGAAGGTGCGTCAGCAGAGGCATCAACAACAGCAGTTATCTGCTGTGGTTGCAGCGGGGATGCTTGCAGGGAGGGCACAGTATCACCAGCAACAGCAGCAGCAGCAGCAGCAGCAGCAGCAGCACAAACAGCAGCAACAGCAGTAGCACCAGCAGCAGCAACAGCAGTAAGAGGGTTGTTGCGGCAGTTGCAGAGGATGGTGGAAAAGCAGAGGCATTACAGCAGCAGCTGGCTGCGGTGGTTGCAGCAGGAATGCTTGCAGGCAGGACGCAGTACACCAGCAACAGCTGTGGTGGTATTGGGTGGAACGCATACACTACTTTCCAGTATTATAAAATTGTTCTCGACTCGAGCAATACTGCTTGCATGATTAGTTGTACGGTAGTTATGATTTGCAATCCTCACTTGGTTTGGGCTGAATTCTGGCCTTACCTTTGGCAGTATCCCCACTTTCGATTTACCGTCATCGCCCGGATATAAGACATATATGTCTTATCTCGTACACGGGCAAAAATGCTTGAGTTATCTTGTAAACGGGATGGTTTAGGGTGTCTTATAAGTCTTATAAATGGAAACTTTTTAAACTACTTAGAAATATTTTCCGTACTTCTTGAAAAAGAGTTCCTCATAATGAGTGTGGATGTTGCGAGGGTGCCACTTCGGCAACCACTGCCCGGGACGCCACGTCATGGAGAACACCTGCAGAGGCAAATTTGGTAGGTCCTGGGTCAGCGCGTGGAAGAATTCGCGCTTCGCAAGGGTAAAAATGTACGCGGTATTTCAACTTTCGCTATAATATATTGAAGTTTCGATTATAAGACATATATGTCTTATCTCGTACACACAAATAGGTGTCTTATAATGAGGCTAGCCTGTTTATAAGAGACACCCGTATAGTAGACAACCCCTGTCTACTATTCAACACTGTCTTATATCCGGGCGATGACGGTAGTTCTAGGATGTACAAGCTTGGCTGTTTTATGTGATTGAGAAAGCTTGCTTTCTGTTATATCGACGGGAGTGGAGTGTTGGCCCCGCCCTTCGCTCGGGCAACGCCGACAACTTGGTCGGATGTACGGGAGAAGCAGCCGACCGTTCACAGTGAAGGAGCTGCTCGACGGGCTTCGTCGAGCTGCAGGGTGTCACTGTGGGGTTTCCGTCGACCAGGGGTGCTCGACGGGCGCAGCTGACTGGGCTGGGCGACGGATGGGCCACCGACCAGGAGTCCCAGTTCGACGGAGAGGTCGACGGAGCAGTCCGTCGACCTCACATATGAGCAACGGTCGACGAGGGGAGCTTGGCGACATCAGCAGAGAGTTCTGGTCGACAGAAAGGGTCCGTCGACCATGAGGCAGCTCGACAGGAGCTGTGGTCGACCAGGGGCCCTTGGTGGTCGACCAGAGGCACCTGATGGTCGACCAGGGGGGGCTGGTGGTCGACCGGGAGACCTGGTGGTCGACCGGGGGACCTGTGGTCGACCAGAGCTCGTGATGGTCGACCGAAGACACCTGGTGGTCGCCCAGAGCTCCTGTGGTCGACAAGAGCCCTGGTGGTCGACCAGAGGCGCCTGATGGTCGACCAGAAGCTCTGCGTGGTCGACCAGAGTGGCTGGTGGTGTCCAGGTCGACCAGGTAACCTGCTCGGCGAGTTCTGCGGAGGCACGCGAACGTCGTCGATGTCGCAATTGTTAATGGGAATGGAGTGTTGGCCCCGCCCTCGCTTGGGCAACGCCGACGACTTGGTCGGATGTACGGGAGTAGCAGCCGACCGTTCACAGTGGGAGAGCTGCTCGACAGGCTTCGTCGAGCTGCAGGGGACCGCTGTGGTGTTGCTGTCGACCAGGGAGCTCGACAGCTGCAACTGACTGGTCTGGGCGACGGGTGGGCCGTCGGCTCGGAGGGGCAATTCGATAGGGAGGGTGATGGAGCATCCCGTCGACCTGCAGCTCGACCGGGAGGTCGACGGAGCATCCCGTCGACCAGCAGCTCGACCGGAAGGTCTATGGAGCATCCCGTCGACCTGCAGCTCGACCGGGAGGTCGACGGAGCATCCCGTCGACCTGCAGCTCGACCGGGAGGTCGACGGAGCAGTTCTGGTCGACAGAAGGGGTCCGTCGACCAGGGAGATGCTCGACGGGAGCTACGGTCGACCGGAGTACTTGGTGCTCGACCGGATGCACCAGGCGATCGACCAAAAGCACCTGGTGGTCGACCGAAGGGCTTGGTGGTCGACCGAAGGACCTGGTGGTCGACCGGGAGCACCTGGTGGTGTCCGGGCGGACCAGGTAACCTGCTTGACGAGTTCCGCGGAGGCACGCGGATGTCGTCGTGGTCGCGATGGCGAAGACGACTACGGGCTAGTCGATGTGGCTCGTCAGGCGCAGACAACAGCCGACGGATGCCCAACGAGGCAAGTCGGGCCAATCGTCTGCGTGCACCTGCGAGCGTGCGCACTGCTGTCTTCTACAGGGCAACGCTGGACAGCCGCACAGCTGCAGCGTTGGCACGCCGTCGACCTGCAATGTTGGCAGGTCGCTCTTCTGCAGTGCTGGCGCGGCTCCTCTACGCAACGCTGGCAGGCGGTCGACCATGCAGTGCTGGCGGTCGACCAGGCTAGCTGCAGAGTTGCTAAGTGCTTGATATAGTCATTCTGTCATTGCTTGTTCAATCATTCTGTAATTCCAACTTTGCTAGTGAAACTCTTGCCAATTTCTCCCGTGAATGTGCAAGTGCTAAGGAACCAAGCAAAGCTACGATCACTCCTAGTAGTTCGTGCCAACCCCCGTAGTCTAGCTCACTACCGTTGTAGAGTGAATCTCCGCATGGTGCGGTGAGCGTGGATCGAACACGCGACCTTCAGATAGGAGCCGACTTTTGCACCTACTAAGTCTTTTGTAGGCCGGCAATAGTGTTAGTCGCCATGGTCGACCCCGTTGTAGAAGCGGGCGTAGCGGACACCTTGGAGACACGCTTGGCTGATGCGAGGAGACGCCACGCGGATGGCGAGTACGGGACGATCCCCTTGACGATCGTCGAGTTGGGCATCCGGGCGCAGTGGGCGACGGATCACCCTTCCCGTCCTGCTTCTCCTCGACCGGTGCGAAACGAAGGTGGCGTCGACGACAGCGGCTCCTAGGTGCTAATGGCGTGATTCCCTACGAGTGCAAAAATCAAAAGTTGATTTCTCTGGGTGCGGGGATGCACGGCCCGAAAAGTGTTGCGGGTGCAATGGAACGAGATAACGAGGATTGCACTAGGTGTCAAACGAGTACAAAGTATGAGCGAAGGCATGAGCGAATACTTATATGCGAAGCTTGCA